ACCTTTGTTCACATGTATAGTATGGATTTCGTAAGTTGTTCTGAAAGGTTTAAATTTGGAAAGTAACTCCTGAGGGAAAGGTAGTAGAAAATCAGTCTCCTTCCCCTCCCCCTCCATCTTTGAGAGTACTACTTAACTTCCCTTTAAGATTTAGGGAAATACTTTCAGCTAGGAGTTTATCTAATGATTGGGTTTGTTGAGCTGTTAGATGACTGAAGTTTTCAACAGAATGTAATTAAAGCAGCCAGTTTTTGTATGGTCATGTCTAGCTCTTCTCTCCTACAAGAGCTTCAGTTGTGACTACTGCTGTTCAGTGTATGTTTTGGTGCTAATGGAAGTGACTAGAGATGTGCGGTAAAATGGGATGTTCTCTGAAATGCTGTTGCAGCTACAGACTTGTAGTCAGCTGGTGTCTGCTAACAAGCTCTAACCTGAGGTTTTTAGTCTGTTGTGCCCAATAAAAATGCTTTAGCACTTGTGAAAAGAACTGAAATGAGATCTAGCTGCAAACTTGTAGGACTTAGATTTGTTTTCCAGTCTTGAAGATGGTGTTGTATAGGATACTCAGTTATGCTGGTGAGAGATGTCTCTCCTCAAATGTGGTAAAATGTCAAGCACAGTTTAAAATACTAATCTCACTTTAACTTGCCTGGGCTTGTGGAGAGAAGACACCAAATGGATGCTTCTAAGTGTGGCAAAGAGAAATAGAGAAGACACCAGTGGTTTAGGTTAGGTTGCAGTAACTCTTCCTCTTGAGGCTGGAATGCAGGCGAGTTGCTGGTGAGACGTAGTATGAAGTATGATCAGACAGCAGAGTATGCCGGACATACTAAAATTTCTTCTGTTCCCAGAGTATACGTCCTATCCAGAGAGGAGTGACTACTAATGAATACAAAGAATGAAAAGTAGTGAATAACTTTATTTTTAGCTTTCTGCAATCCTGTGGAAACAGAATGTGAGGAAAAAGCACCCTTTAATTCTTTATTGGGTTTGCTGCAAGTTACGTGAGGTGTTTTGCCTTTTTCCCCGCTTGTTCTGAAAGCTTCCCTTTGCAGAACAGGATGTGTAGATTTGCATTCCACATGATAAAGTGGATACACTGTGTGACCTCACTGCTGACAGAGTTCGGGGGAGAAATTGAAAAGCTCTGCAGATAGAAAAGTATAGGCACGTCTTTTATAGACTAACTCTAGCTTTTGTAATCTAGTGTTCACCTGACTCTTCTGGTAATGGCTTGTGAACACTACGTACTTGTAAAAGAGAGGATAGTTGAAGTTGTGTTTGATTGGGTAGCAGACTGCTTAGCAGGTACAGGAAGCTCATACGTTTTGCCAAAGTTAATGGGCTTGCCCTTGCCTGCAGGGAGCTAGCTGCCTCTGAAGTTCTTGAAAGCGGAAGCGCCGCATTTCTTGAGGAAACCCTTGTAGCATTGCTTCAGGGGTTGTATGGATGCCATTAGCATCATTGTGGCTCCTGGTTGCTTACTGATGCTGTTTTTAAATAGCTTTGTTTCCTCCTTCTCCTCCTCAGGTGGTGCTTGGTAAGTGAATCTCCCTATCCATTAGGGTCTTGTCCAGCTCAGCATGCAAAATCTAAGTTAGCATACCTCGGCTTAGTTTGCCTGTCCTACTTCAAATGTTATATTAGGTGTTGACTTAACTTGTGTTGGAGGAAAAGGTAGGTTAAACTTGATATCTTTAAGAAAAGAATCCTAATAAGTTACCTGCCTCCTGATTGATTCCAGACTCAACTATTTATACTTGTTTGGCTTTAAAAATGTTATATTGATTTATTTGTTTTTGCTTACTGCCAGAAAGTGAGCAGCCAGATTAAGGATTGGTTTTGTCCTGAAGTCAACAGTCAATACAATATTTAGAAATGTTTATTCTTTTATCCCCTTTATTAGTACAATATTTGGTATTTGGAGATCTCTTCAAACTGTTTTTGCTAAACTCATGGCTTAAATTGTGTGATGAGCACTACTAGTTCTTCTAGGACTAATAAGCTGTTGAATATGTAAATATTAATGTTGTAATCAGATCTCTTTTAAATGACTAAAACTGGCATTATGTGCAGAATAGAGGGGGCACTCTGTCTTGTTCTCCAGTCATGTTCCCTTTCTGATTCTGCAAGATGTGCATGGGGCTTTCATCACCATAAAGACTCTTCTCTTGCGATGGTCTGTATAGGGAGGGAGACTAGGTGTACGAAACAAGCTGGAATTCTCCTTAGGGTAAGAGGTTTAAAAAGACAGTTCATTTGTTCTTATCTGCTAAATTAATGTTTGTGCTGGGTAACAAATGCTCTTTAATTCTGATTGTTGTATGTCTGTGTGTGTGTATGTTTATGGCTGTTGGAATTTTATATCAAACTATACCATTAGTGGGGTAAAGGATAGTGATGCAGCAAAATATTTGAGAACACAGACTCTTGTTGCTTTTGTAAGGCAAGTGGTTTATTTGTGGATGAAGACTAAGAGTTACTATCTCATTTTGTTTAGTGACTGCCTAGGGAAATGGTAAAACTACAAATATGAATAAAAGGTGAATTAGAAGGGTGAAAGCCTTGAAGTGAAATCTGAAGTTTAACTACTACTCTGAATGCTTCTTTTAAATAGCTATTAGGCCACACTTAATCAGTATCTGTTGCTGAAGTGATTGATCTGTAAAAGCCTTATGGGCCTCAGAAAAAGTTGCATGAGAAGTCTTAACTCTGAGTGGAATTGCAAAAGTTGAATTTGGGACTGAGGTTTTCATGTGGCTTCTGGCCATCTTTGACACAGCTGAAAAATTTTCAGAACATCTGTGTTGGCTGCCTTTCCATGGGCATGTAATGGTCAAGCACAAATAATCTTCAGAGCGTATGATCTTGCATGTTATTGTGGACTACTGCTCAAATGTGTGAACCACAATTGTAAACAGCCTTTTTTTTGTATGCAGGTAGGGAAAAGTTTGGCTTTTGTGACTGATCGGTATCTTATTATTGAAGAGTAGCTGTTGGAAGCTGACAAGCTAAGTCAAAATGTCTGTGTTGGGTAGTTGGGCAGGTTTTTTCCCATCCACCATGCTGTCAAACTCGCATCCGTTTTTCCAAAATGGACTTGGTGCTATGTCCTAGCCCTGAAATAAGGTTGTACCCTGTGCTTGGTTTAGTTTTCAAGTTGCTTAAAATCTTCCCATCTTTTTATTCATAACAACTAATCAAAAATATTGGGTGTGACACAAAAAATCATGCTAGCTCTAGGTTTCCTAGTCTAGGTCTTACATTCCAATAGCCTGGAAAAAGAGAACAAGAGTTGAATTTGGTTCTCAAGCTCCAGTGATAGGTCTACTTAGCATGCTGCTGTGGTGCTTGGGTATCTTGTAGTCCCAACTGTTCCTTTTTTCTATGTTGCTAGACTTCTGACAATCTCTACACAAAGTTTGACTGTAGGGGGTGTGTGTTTAAACCTTCATTTTCAGTATGATCAATATTTTCTGTATGAAAGAAACTGTTAAACTCTAGATAGCTTCATGTATTTTTACGGACATTTGACCTTGTGTTCACTAACTCTTTCTTACTCTCTTTTGAAAGGCCCTTCCTTCTTCCATGATGATAGTAGCTGTCTACTGCCCGGTGATAGCAGCTCTCTTTATCGTTTTGAAGATGGTGAATTACCGTTTGCACAGGGCGCTGGATGAGGGAGAAATTGTGGAGAGGAATGCCAGTGAGCATATGGACAGAGGTGCAAAAACAGAACAAAGCAATGTTTCAGCCAAGAGAAAAGACAGCAATGGGCCCAGGTAAGGTGTCTGCTGATGTATGTATACTGCTTCAAATGATAAACAGTCCTGTATTCATCAGATGTGTAACTGGAATGGTAGTTGAAATAAACACTGAGGAATATAGATGCAGACCTCTGTAGTTCTGAAAGACTGTTTAAGTCTGGTCTTTAAAAGCAGACTTACTTATGTGTTAGGTTTGAAATGATGGATTCATGTTAATTTCCTGGTTCCTCTCCCAAAGGAGTTCCAGAACAATATTGAAAATGCTAGAAGCACTGAAACAATAGCATGGAAAATGTGTGCTGATTAGGTCACTAAATACTTAATGAACACAACCAGTACAAGTAATCTTATTTCAGCAGTAGACTTAGTTTTAGAAATCTAGCTTTCAAAGACTGCATACTACGTGTTAAGTCTTTTATCACTAAAAGGAATGTCTGATGGGGTTTCAATTTGCTTAGTTTTGCAAAAGCAGGAGTCAATACAATGCTTGACTCCAGTCATAGTCTTGTTTCAGGAGAACACTGTCCTGTGAATTTGGAAATTCTGGAATTGCTCAGCTCAGTAATGAAGATGGTGATTCTGAAGTACTGTCAGTAGGAGGTGATTCCTTTCCACAGATCTTCTTTGCTGTCACCAGCATAAAAAAACCCCAGAGGTTTTCTTCCTCTGACCAGACTATTTGGAGAAAGAGCAGCAAAAGATGACTCATCAACAAGGCCAGCATAACCAGTCTGATCAGACTGTATTATGAGCTCTATTATCAAAGCCTCTGCCTGGCTCCAGATAATTGAGGCTATCTTAAGAGTTAGACTGCATTAAATAAATCAACCTTGAATTGTTAGCTTTTAAAGAAGACCTTTCTCTTATCTGTGAGTTTCTGGTACCAGTAGCCATGAATAGTTTTCAAAGTGGGGCAATTAGTATGCTGTCCTGAGTCTCAAAAGGTTGTGCGTGTTGTTGTGTTGGTTGGTTTTTTTTCCAGAAGAAAAACAAAACTGGAACTTTTTTACATGGAGACACATGCAATAAGGAAATGTAGTTGAAAGAAGCCTCTTAAGTCTGTTTATCAGGATGCTTAAAGAAAGGAAGTGTTAAAGTGATGATCTTTAAAATGCTCAGCCTAGAAGTAAAAGGACTTTACTGTGCATATGGGGTAGCTTCTCATGAGATGGGTCTTAAGTTCTTCTGTATCTGCTCTCAGCTCAGGTATTGTTAGCAAAAAGTGTCTTAAATTCCTTTAAAGTTGATATACAGTAACTTCTTGTATCAATCTTATATAACCTGATCCTTTTTCCATGTTGTGTCTGGTAACTGAACCTGCTGATTTTATTTGTGACTCCATTTAGATCACCATATACCTTACTAAAACTGTATCGAGCTATTTTGGCAGAATGCTTGCTTAAATGTATATTAATGCTTATTCTGCTTAATAAAATTCATGAAAGTAAACTAATGGTCTGTTCTGTTTCAATGCAACCTTGCTAACGCATGTTTTAGCTGTGATCCTTATATGTTTTGTTTTGTGTGGTGTGGTTTGTTTTTGTTTTTTTTTTAAGCCATATAGCTTTTGCTTCCAAAACAGTAGCCAAGACTTGGCAAGGGACTTCTTTCTACTAGTATTGTGAATTACTTCTGGATGTTTCTAAAGTTCTGTTTTGTCTAAGGAGCAGTTGACATGGGACAAGTTACTACATTTTAAGCATTTGTGAGCTCAGAAGTAGAGGTTAGTTTGATGCTGTGTGTCCTGCTTGCCAACTAAAGTTTCATTAACTTTTATATGATCCTTGTTCCCACTTTCAGGTCTCTTAACTAGAACTGGGAACAAGGTCAATGCAGAAATTACGGAGTTACTTTTTGGTAAGTGGGATGTACAGTATATACTAATCTTTGCCTGGAAGCTTACAAGAACTCTGGGATAACATTCAAACCAGTAGAGGGGATGTAGAGTGAGTGTTTAATATTGAGTTGTCGCCTTCTTAGTAAGTTAAATCGGAACACTAATTAAAAAAAACCAACCAAACAAAAAAAAACAAAAAACCTGTCTCTGAAGAAAGTGTGTATGTAGAGTGTTACTTTTTTTTAAACTCTGCTCCCTTAGCATAAGGTGGATATAGGCGATCTCTAAGCAGACATACTACCTTAAATATTTGCATAATCAGAATATTAGTTTTGATAGCTTAGGCTACAGTATGTGATACCAAAAAATAGAGTATAGTGTGCAAAGCTGTCCTAGAGTTCACCCTGTCACACACACCCTCCCTGAGACCACTTTAGTTATAAATATTAATATTTTTGAAGGATTAAGCAATAGTCTGGTTTCTGTTCAAAAGTTATGTTCAGGATTCTGTTTAGCTTCTAAGAACTGCTGTTCTTTCTTTCTGAAGATGTTTATCTGCAAAGTGGTGCTTTCAGGTATCTGACAAAAATTATGTGCTGTCATTTGTAGGTTTAGATGAACTGCTCATTTATCTTCGGTTCACATTGGTTTGTGAATAGGATCAAACTCTAAGGGTTTTTAATCTTTTCATAAAACTTTGGCATGCTTAAGTGAAGAACAACTTAGCGTTCCCTAAGAAATGCCTTGTTTATTTTTCCTCATCCTCTTTATAAAGCTGAAATTCTCTAGTTATTTCTGAAAGAAGCTAGTCGTAATTTAGAGATAGGAATGTGAGTTGTCATCTTCTGTAGCTTCTAGTGCAGTTGCTGCTTTCATACTTAAGGGGATGGTGTTAGTAATGCTTCTGTGAGTTTTCATGAAAACAAGTAATAGGGATACAGGCTCCTAATCTTGCATGAAAGGTAGAAGGAACAGTGCAAGCGTAATGTTTATTGGGTATCAGTGGACCCACGTAGATACCTTAAAACACTCAGACAGTCTTGCTTGTGGGGATGTGAATATGGCTTCTTTCTTGTGTCAGTGACTACTATAGTTCAAAGTATCATAAAGCATTAACCTGGTGACGCTGCTGTCCCTGAGCTCCATCAGCATGGGGGAGCTGTAATTATGATGCTACATGAATTTCACATGTACTTCTTCTCCTACAAAATAAAACTGACAGCTGGAGAATGTTGCACCTTTGAGTTATGTACTGTCTACTTAAACAAGTATAAGCAAGAGAAATAATAAAAAGTAATTTCTACAACTCTTGCCTTACCTTTGCTATTTCTTCTCTTTGCAGTTTTCTGTGGCCGGCAGACCTGTTCTTAAGCTTGGAGTTGTTTTGCCTTTTTGACTCTATATAACTAATTATATAGTTATTCAAGCTTTAAAGAAAACTTCTCTTAACACTTGAAACTGTCATGGTCTAGCATTTGCAGTACGTGCTGTGGTCCTTCTGTGTTTTGAGAGCAGCCTCCTGACCAGTTATCCTGCTATTTTAGTTGGAAATTAAGGACAGAAGAAGGTGTTCAAAAGAAAAGAATAAAACTCTTCCTCTGCTTTGTCCTGAAATCAAAATTGCTCATTCCAAATTCTCCCTGGAAGTTCTAGTTCAAATATCAGATTTATTTAGTCAATCAGCCTAAGTCAGGTTTTAAACTCCTGAATTCATGTAGACTTACAGCCTCTTCAGACTTTTGGTTAGTCTCTGTCAAACTAATATTACATAGCTGCTGATAGTAATTTTAGATAGGACAGTTACTAATAATTAGAAATATTAGTTTTAATTTGTTTTGCTCAGTCTCTGAATGCCTCTTCCACAGCAATCTCCGTTGCAGGTAGCTGGGCATAATTTATTCAGTCTTCTCAACTTGTGTAGTAACTTCACTTCAGGTTTTTTGCTTGCAAACTGGAAAGCATAACACTTGCTCTAGGGTACGAAGTCAGCAAACTGTAAGAAACTGATTGTAGAACTTAATAGCAGAAAGGAATGGGCACAACACTAGCAGAAAATAGCTCCTAAAGGATTCTACGTGCTGTTGTAGTCCAGATCCTTATGTGTACAATGATTAATCCTAGAAATCTGTACTTCCTGCTTGTTCCTGCAGACTTTATTTGTTGTTGTTTGTTACTAGCTTTTGTTAATCCATTAGTTTGTGTGTGCTGTCACAGAATATAGCAGCTGTGAGTGGAGTGGTGGTGTTGGATTGTATTGTTCCTTATGCTGATATCTGTTGGCTCACTTTCAGACAAAATCACCTCCTTCTCCCACCCTGGTTAACTACCCAGTTCCATGCATGAGAGCCTATTCGTGTTGACTTATTTTTGTACTTCATAGGACATACTTTAATCATATGCAGTGTTTCTGAATGAATTATTCAAACAGGAAGGGAATTTCATCTTACTGTGAAAAAGCGTTCCTCGTTATATCTTCAGTTGTCATAATGTATGCTGAACTTAAACATTAAGTGAGATTTTTTCAGTTTAGTCTTCGTGTTATGTCCTTATGTGTTGTTAAAATGCTTACATAAGGAATGCTTTGGCTAAAGCTGGTCGAAATTATTGAAGCCGAATTCTGTATCTTTTTTTTTTCCTTACCTGGTTCTGTCTTAGCATAATTGATAATACCAGGTCAGTGAGGGCTCTGTAAACAGCCATCAATAAGAGCATGCTTATGTCTCACAGCTGAGCTGTACCAAAATGGTGAGTTTTCACTTTTCTTCAATTTGCTGGAGTCGGACCATAATTGTTCTGCTAACTCATGGCTGGTTGTCTCTTAAGTTAACTTATTTTTACTGAAGTAATATATTCCTAACTTCAAACTCTTTTTTTTTTTTTTTTTTTTGGTCATTTTTTTGATGTATGAAGGTTCAGGGGCCTCTTGTATGATCTAGAATGGTTCCCAAGGTTGTATCTTTACACCTCTCTGAGATGACAACAGCTTGAAATGTCATGCTGCAAAATGAATGATGTTTCAGGTCCTTTAGTCTACAGACAGTTTGTTTATGTATCCTAAATTGATGTCCGTATATTACAAAAATTATTAGGTGTTGGTCTTATTGCATAAGACTGTTCTATGAGACTAGCTGTCTATTAAGTAAGTCCTGCAATGCTTCTGTCCATTTCTGTCCCCTTCTCCAGAGGGGCTTCATCTTTAGTTTCTTTAGTCCAGCTGGAGAGGGGTTGTGCATATGTTCTTTCTCCAGCAAAATGTTAGAGTGGACTTGCCACAGCTCTGAATCATTGATTGTTAGGAAGCAGTTGTTCATCTTTGGGAAGGAGCAGAGAGTGTCAGTGTCAAATTACACTGCAGTTACTTCTGTTCAGAAGTCTCCTGGATCAAGATGGCTGAAGAGAACTGTACTGGGAGAGGAAAAAGGATGCCTCAACCTCTCCCTCTTTGCAATTAACAAACACTGCTAGGTTGGATCCCTGAGCTGTAGTCCCCAACTCATTTCACACCCTATTGTCCTAATGGACAGGTCCAACTTGCTTTTGTTTGATAAATATCTGCCTTTGACAAGCTGAATTATGTTGAATTACAATTTGGTGATGTTGATCTAGAAAATACTTTCAAACTAATACTTACTAATCCTGAAAAGGTGAAATCACTAGGACATAATATATATTTACCTCAAAATATTTCTTGGTAGGGCCTGTATATTATCTGAAGGGAAGTAATTTTCTGGTAGAAAGAAGTGGTTTGCATCCCTGGGAGAGATACCATGTCCCTGTATGTCTCTTTCCAATAACTTTTACCGACAGTGTGTGGCTTTCTTGGTTAACCCATCCTTACTTTTGCTCCTAGATCCAGTCTAAGGAAAAGATCTGGAGTCCTTTCCCTGCTCTTTGAAAGAGTTCTCTTTAGTACTTTTCTGTTGATTGATTTCTGGGTATTACAGTTGGACAGATGATCTGAAAGTTACATATGTGTATGTATGGACAGAGGGAACTTCATATGTCAGCATTTCAAAATGCCTTGTAGCTCCTAAGTCTTCGTGGTTTGTGTTGGGTGGTGACAGGGGACTTTACAAGGCAGCAGCTTCTATGACAGTATATAGGGCACTCCAGCTCTGGCTGAGCTTTGTGTGTCAATGGGCAGTATTCATCTGAGATACTGAGATATATTTGAGCCCCTAATATTTGAAAAGAGAAAAAATATTTTGAATCTGCACTCAGCGTAGACAGACAAACTTCTGTTTGACTGGTAGGTTAATGGTTTTTTTGTTTTGTTTTCTTTTCTTTTCCTTCTTTCATGTTTCTCTCAGTGACCCTGGTGGAGGGATTGAGATGTCAGAGTTCATACGAGAAGCAACTCCCCCTGTTGGCTGTAGTTCACGCAATTCTTATGCTGGGGTAGATCCAAACAACCAGGTAAGAATTAAAGCTACTGCTATTGTTGCTTTAGTACTGCTGGCTTTGCAATCTGTAGCATGATCTTTACTGGTTTTTTTCTTATATTAGGATAAACAACTTACCTTTCTGTATTTCTTAACTGCTTTATTAGGGTGGCATTGCACTCTCCCAGCTGCATAACTCTTGCTCATCCCATCTTGTGTTCATTTTAGGAATGGATGGATTTTATAAGGCAACCTACACTCTCATCAGAAAGTATTCCCTCTTGCTCAGTTAGCTTTCTTCTGATTTAGTAAATCAAAATGGCTCAGAGCATGGTCAGATAAGTACCAAGACCCACTGTGGTGGGCTTCCCTCTTCCTTTTGGAATCAGTGAGTTGTTAGATAGCTCAAGCTGTAACTTCACCCTTATGTTCTAACTGTTTTCCTCCCTTACTTTTGTTTGATCTGTCGTTTAGATGCTTAATTGGCAAACTTCAGTTGTGCTGAATTTGAGGAGGCTTCTGTTAAGTTGTCTTAGAACGTATCCACTGCTGATTATCTCTTGCAATGCTAAATGGCTTTCTGAAGGTTATTATTCCTGACAGCTCAGCCTCTGCAGTCAAAAATGTTAATTTGCTAAAATACAAAGCAAGATAAACTGGTAGAAATGGAAAGACTAAAACTTGTTTGTTTTTGGATGACCTCTGCAAAATCTTCACTATTTTGACACTTCAACAGTGGTGGGAAGAAAGCAATAAATAGGGGCTGCAGCACACCAGATGTAAGTGCTGAAGACCTTGGCGTTATTAGATTTTAATGCAACTTCATTATGCTCTAGTTGCCTTGTAATTTCACTGGGGAAGTTGTTCAGTTTCCTTATTATGTCTGCTAGATTTATGCGTTCAACTTCCATAGCACTGCATGTGCTGTTCCTTCGATTTGGCTTGTGATATTTAGCCATTTGTGGCATCTTTCTTTTACCAACTCTTCATGAGGACAAGTAGATTGACTGGCCAGACTGTAAGGTTATGTTGACAATGAGCAATGCAGCATCATATTAAAGATACAGAAGCTGTTTTTGAATGACGTGGAAATTCTTGGTGTGGTATTACAGTATCAAGTCCTTCTAATTAGCTCTCTGAGGAAGCAGTATATAATGTAGTGCAATGTTATGCTAATGTTGATGTTTTATCTGAATAATGCTCCGTTATGCAGCATAGATACTCTTAAGAGATTTTCTCCTTTGAAGATAGCAGGTATTTGGTAGTGTTCAAAGGAATAGGAAGTGATGGTCCATGTAGGAAGACGGAACTAGGCTGGGGATTGTGTTTCTTTGACTGGCCTTTGGAAAAAAACCTATTCCAAACATACTTAAAACGGTTTTAATGTTAAAGCATGTGAAGAAGCTCTGTGTTCTTTCCTGTGTGCTTTAATGCTGACACTATAACACAGTTAAAGCTACTGCAAAAGGAGTATAGTGTTTGAAAGGTGTTTATGCTGATAAAATTAGTGCTCGCTAGTCCCATGTGATTGAATTTGCAGCATCAAAAGGGTATGTGAACAGTAGGCATCTGAGTTCTGTTCAGTTTTTTGTGTGAAATAGCTTTCTCATGCTGATGCATTTGCATTCAGCTACAGCATTCAGCAAGGCATGTTACTGAAGGGGAGAAAGAGTTGAAACATGGCAAAATGACTAACTAAAAATGTGCATGACAGTGTAGTAAAGAAAATGCATTAAACAAGCTCCGGCTGCTTTTTTGCATTACATGTAGCAAAGCCATTGTTCTTCATAGTATGGCTGAATAAAATCTGCACACATCTTCAGATTACCTTAAATTTGCTGTGCTTACAGAGAAGAGTTAGTAGAATTATGCTCTTTTCCCCAGAGTCATTTGAACTAGGGATTTTTGAAAAACAGCATCCCAATATGTATACAGTGAAGTCAAATTGCCATCATTTTTGTGTATCTTGGGTTCAGATTTTGCCTTTGAGTGCTCTTCTCCTATCTTATTTCTGAGTGGTTTAATTATTTGATGCATGCATTTTTGTGTGTTATTTGGAGTTCTTTGAGAGAGGTGGTATTGGAAATATTATTGAAGGAAAGCCTAAATACTCTTTAGCACCTCTGCAAAGTAATCCACTACAGATCACTAGACGTATGTAGAAAGGCAGACTACAAACCTAAATGGCTAGTTAATTTTCATACGAGGAGGTACATGCCTGCTGGTTGGCCATTGAACATGGCTGAAAAGCAGATGCTATAGATTTGAAATGTGATTGTAACTAATATCCAAGAACAGATCACGGAATATTGCACAGTCTTCCACTGACCAGTTTACTTGCTCTGAGGTAACTGCAATCTGTATACTTGGAAACTGTCTTCAAAAGAAAAATTGCATTTGCAGGAATGAGAGGGTGGAAAAAGACACAGTAAAATGATTAGGTTAAATTGATTTAAGTTTATTCAGCTGCCAGCAGGTATCATCCTGCCATATCCCCTGTTCATGCTGCTGCCGCTTTCCATGTACCAACACTTAGGTTCTTGTGGTTACCGGGTCATTGGATCAACTCTGACAGACCTGAAGACTAACCCTGGTAAAAATGTATCTTTTCGAATAGGAACAGTTTCTGGATTCAGCTTGGTGTCTACGATGTTGAACAGCTAAGTTTTATATTAATGTGGTGTTATGTTTAAGCATTTTAGGCAACTGTGATCACTGCATTAAACATTCAGCTTTACAACAGCAGTCATTAGTGTACCATCACACTAGTAGTTTGTTTCCATAGTAAGTATTTTCAAGGAAAGTTCCTAGATTAGAAACTTTTTAAAATCAGCATAGTAAAATCTCCAAGTACACTGGCTATAAAACAGAATAATGCAGTGATATAGCTGGATGCATAATTAGATGCCTTGTCATCTCTGTTTGCAGTGGAAACATTCTGAGTCAGAAAGGATTTTACACCACTGTGCTGTTAGATGCTTTTGTGCCTTTGAAAATCTCTCCTAGGTGTATAGGCAAATGCCTGCATTGCAGTAATAGGAAACAACAGTTGGGTAATTCCTGAAACTTTACAGCTTTTTATGTAATTCCCTGTTTCTAGGTTGGATCTGGGTTATCTCGTCTGGGAACAGCAGCAACCATCAAAGGTGAGATTTTTGGCTACTTCTTAAAACTACCTTGCAGTAGCACTTCAAATCACTGTTGTTTGCTATGTTGTTTCCAAATACTGTCTACCTTGTTCATCTTCAAAACTTCTTTTGTGAGCTAAGTACAGCATTTACTAATTGGAAGAAATCTTCCTTGGAGTTGCAAATTATGTGCCTAAAACACTAGGAGAGAATATCCTGGAATCTGTGCTCTGTTTTCCATGTAACAACAGGTTTTTCTTTTGCTTGTAAATGCAGAGCCAAGGGGTTGGTTTGAGTGGGCTTTTCTCTACTATTTTGAGTTCTGTGCAACCAATTGCCCTTCTGGTATTGTATTTCAATGACTTGATAATTTCTAGTTGCTTGGCATCTAGCACAAGTATTGTCCAGGACACACTTGTGAACTCCTCTGAGATGAAAAGATAAATTATTTGTAATATGCAAAGTTGCTATCTCGTAAATTTGTTAAGCCAATAATAAGACAAAAGAAAATGAGATGTGAATTTTTGTCACCTTCCTGATTTTTCTTTACCTTTTATATCTTTACAAGTATTTTGTTACAATATACCCCTCATTTTTTATTGGCAACCATGCAAAAAGGAATATTCAAATAGATATATATATTTAAGCAAAAAAAAAATCTTTCTTACACAGAACCCAATGGAAATATACTTTTCCAGTTTTCCATGGAAGATCTGTGTAGTTGAATGAAAACTTTCTTATACACAAAATAAAAGACATAGAGTAGACAATACTTACCTGTAAAAGATAAGAGAAATCTTGTGTTACTTGTAATTATTGTTATTTACCTTCAAATGAAGAAAGAAAAGCAACAGTCTTTCATGACAGGTGAGAAATCTGCAGTGTATGTAGATGTATGTGTTAATACTTTGAGCACTGGTACTCTTCTTTCTTAAAATTCACAGGAGATACTGATACTGCCAAGACCTCTGATGATATCAGTTTAAGTCTTGGCCAGAGTTCTAGCCTATGTAAAGAAGGGAGTGAAGAACAAGGTAAAATTTCTTCTTCTGCATATTAAACATGGTATTTTGTTAGCAAAGACCCTTTGCTTAACATGCTAAAGAAATTCATGCAATTTGTTGATAGATTCTAAGGAGGGGTATCTTGAAACTCTGTTTCCTTTCTTAATTACTCTAAGTTCCTGAGATGTGTAACTTGAATACTCTTTTAACTTTATTCTTTGGCTGTGTGTTTCTTGTTCTGGCATCTTCCAGCAGGTAATAAATATTTACTGTCTCCTTACTGCTGAAAGACAGCTAGCTTACATATCTCTAGATGATCTCTCTTATACCGAAAGCGGCCTGGGATTCATGGACTTCATTGCAGACTAAATTGCTTTGCTTTCCAGTGCAGCCAAATGAATTTTTTTAAATTACGTGTGCTCTTCTGTAAAGTAAATAATCCTGTGCAGAGTTCTGTGTTTCTGGAGCTATAGACTGCTTCTAATATGCAAGCTATCAGAGTTTTGTAATTGTTTTTCCTAGTACGTAAGAAAACTGCTAGCTTGTATTCTTCAGTTTTCCAATTTTGTTTCAGATCTCATTTTTCATTTAGCTTCATTGCCAGGAAAAAATCTGCTCAGACTAAAACAGAGCGTAA